GAGGTTTATAAAATCATGTGGGTCATGGATGGGGTGAATAGACAAGGTCTTTTTCCCAGGGTGGGGGAATCCAAAACTAGAGGGCATAAGTTTAAAGTAAGAAGGGAAAGATTTAAAAGGGACCTGAGGAGGAACTTTTTCACACAGAGGGTGGTGTGTGTATGGAATGAGGTGCCAGAGGAAGTGGTGGAGACTGGTACAATTACAATATTTAAAAGGTATCTGGATGGGTATATGAATAGGAAGGGTTTAGAGGGATATATCCCAAATGCTAGCAAATGGGACCAGATTAATTTGGGATATCTGGTCGGCATCAACGAGTTGGACTGAAGGGTCTGTTTCCGTGCTGTATGACTCTATGACCCTAAATCACCAGAGCCCCAGAGGACTGCTCTCTCATTAGAGACAGTTGGCGAGTGTAATCTCAGAGTCACCAGGCCGCAGGGGAGAGGTCACAAGGTGGGGACTTCCATGGTGACCTTAGCTTTGCTAAAAAGCTTTATATCGCCCTCAATCATGGGTGGATTGTTTTGAAGAAGAAAATCAAAAGTATGAAGAGTTTTGATTCGGCAATGGAGGGGAAAATGAAAACTAGAGACCAGACCACACAGAAATAACACAAAGCTGGCAGGAAGCTAATGTGGCGTATTTTCTGTTACTCAGTGAGTTGATACAAGCCGGAAACTTCCGTTTGAAAGGGTAGTGAAAACAGATTTAAATCATGACTAGCAAAAAGAATTGGTTATGTACATAAAAAGGGAAGTATTACAGGGCTGGATGGAACTAACTGATGATTATTCGGGGAACTAGCATGGATGCTCAGCGGTTAGCACTGCTGCCTCACAACACCAGGGACCTGGGTTCAATCCCAGCCTCACGTGTCTGTTTGTGTGGAGTTTGCATGTTCTCCCTCTGTCTGTGTGGGTTTCCTCCCACAGTTCAAAGATGTACAGGTTAGAATCATAGAATCCCTGCAGTGTGGAAACAGGCCCTGCGGCCCAACAAGTCCACACCGACCCTCACAGCATCCCACCCGGACCCATTCCCTCTATAACCCCCCTAATCTACACACCCCTGCACACTATGGGCAATTTAGCACAGCCAATTCACCCTAACCTGCACATCTTTGGACTGTGGGAGGAACCAGAGCACCTGGAGGAAACCCACACAGACACAGGGAGAATGTGCAAACTCCACTGAGATGGTTGCCCAAGGGGGGAATCGAACCCGGGTCACTGGCGCTGTGAGGCAGCAGTGCTAACCACTGAGACACCGTTAGGTGGATTAGTCGAGGGCAATGCAGGAATTGGGTGGAATGCTTTTCAGAGGGTTGGTGTGGGCTAAATGGTCTGCTTTCACACTGTAGGGATTCTATGATTCAGGGCAGCCATGAAGGGCTAAAGTCTCCAAAGCTTAAGTTTCTAAGGTAGATTCAAACTTTTTGCCCTCTGCAGAGGTTGGGCAGGAATAGAATAAATTATAATCTGACCTCCAGGAGTCTGAAAAGAGATCAGCAACTTTTAAAGTCAAGTTAAGGTAATGACAGCTCAGTTAAAGAAGGGTCCTTATCCAAAACATTAACTTTCCTGCTCCTCTGATGCTGCCTGGCCTGCTGTGTTCCTCCAGTTCCACACTGTGTTGTCTATAAATGTTCCCATATTTTCATTTATCTTTTATTTATTCTTTCCTAGGATGTGGGAATTGTTGACTTTTTATTGATCATCCCTAAACGACTTTGAACTGCACAGCTTGCTAGGTCATTTCAGTCAAGCATCTTGGTGTACTGGAGTTACATATAGGTCACACCGGGAAGATTTCCTTCCCTAAAGGGCATTAGTAAACCAGATAGGTTTTTACAACAATCAGTGATAGCTTCCTGGATGCCATCATTGAGACTGGCAGTATGTTCCCAATTAAATTTAAATTCCACCAGCTGCTATGGTGGGGTTTGAACTCATGTAGAAGGTTTTCTAAGATTACAAAGGGATCTTGATGAAATGGGTCAATGGGGTGAAAAATGGCAGATGGAGTTCAATCTGGATAAATGTGAGGTATTGCATTTTGGTACAACAAACAAAGGTAGGGCTTATACAACTAATGGTAGGGCCTTGGGTAGTGTTGTAGAACAGAGGGACCTAGGGGCTCAGGTACAAAGTTTGTGTCACACATAGACAGGGTGGTTAAGAAGGTGTTTAGCACGCTTGCCTCCATTGCTCAGACCTTTGAGTATAGGAGTTGGGGCGTCATGTTGAGGTTGTACAGGACAATGGTGAGGCCTCTTCTGGATCACTGTGTCCGGTTCTGGTCGCCCAGTTATCAGAAGGATATCATTAAACTGGACAGGGTTTAAAAGAGGATGTTGCCAGCTATGGAAGGTTTTGAGTTACAACGAAAGGATGGATAGGCTGGGATTTCTTTCACTGGAGTGAAGGAGGATGAGAGATGACCTTGTAGAAGTCTATAAAATAATGAGGGGTATAGACAGAGTTAATAATAATTGTCTTTTCCCTAGGATGGGGGATATCAAGACTGGGGTGTACATCTTTAAAGTGAAAGGAGAGAGACATGGGGGCAATTTTTTTACATGGAGAATGGTTTTCGTGTGGAACGAACTTCCAGAGGAAGTGGTGAATGTGGGTACAGCTACAATGTTTAAAAGACATTTGGATAAGTACATGAATAGGAAAGGTTTGGAGGGATATGGGCCAGGAGCAGGCAGGCAGGACTAGTTTACTTTGGGATTATGGTTGACCTGGACTGGTTGGAATGAAGGGTCTGTTTCTGTGCAGTACGACTGTAGGACTCCATGTCCCTTAAAAAAAAAACGGATTACCAGTGATATGACCACATCGCCATTTCTCTCAGGGAGAGCAAATTCATAGCAAATATTATTGGACAAACATGTCAAAACTGTTATCATGTGTGTTTAGCTTTGCTTGTCTCTGTGCTAGAAACAGCAGTGTGCTGAAACCTTTGACTGGAATGTTTTAATCTAAACTGCACTTTTGCACAGGAAATGTGGTTATAAAACACAGCCTGACAATGTCTCATAGGCATCACCTTTACAATTTTATCTTGTGTGTATTGGGCAATATTCCTCCTTCAACCAGTAAAAACAACAAAATAAAAACTGAAAGAACTGCAGATGCTGTAAATCAGAAACAAAAAAAAACAGAAATTGGTAGAAAACCTCAGCAGGTCTGTCCCCATCTGTGGAGAGAAATCAGAGCTCACATTTCAGGGAGTGGCTCAGTGGTTAGCACTGCTGCCTCACAGCGCCAGGGACCCGGGTTTGATTCCACCCTCAGGCAACTGTCTATGTGAAGTTTGCACATTCTCCTGCGTGTCTGGATGGGTTTCCTCCAGGTGCTCCAGTCCCACAGTGCAAAGATGTGCAGGTTAGGTGCATTGACTATGCTAAATTGCCCCATAGTGTCTAGGGTGGGAAATGCAGAGGTTGGGTGGGGTTCTTTCCAGAGGGTCAGTGTGGACTTGATGGGCTGAATGGTCAGCTTCCACACTGTAGGGATTCTATGATTCAGGTTGAGTGACCTTTTCCAGCAATTTGTTTTTGCATGTGAGTAAAAACAATAATACCAAAAAGAGAAATTGCTGGTCTGGCAACATTTGTGGAGAAATAAAAGAGTCTAAATTTCCTTCTTTAGAACTCAAAGTTGAGTTTCTGTTTTTGTTGCAGATCTCCAGGATCTGCAGTTATTTACTTTTTTTTGGTCCTTCTTTACAAAGACACATCCCAGAAGGACGCTGGACTCAGGACTCTTCCCGTCACAGCTTTCCTTATCCTTATCATTATTCAATCTCTCCCCATTGAATAATGAATCATAGAGTCACAGAGATGCATAGCATCAAAACATAGCATCAAAGTCCAACTCGTCCATGCTGGCCAGATATCCTAAATTAATCTAGTCCTATTTGCCAGTATTTGACCTGGATCCCTCTAAACCCTTCCTATTCATGTACCCATCCAGATGCCTTTTAAATGGTGTAACTGTACCAGCCTCCACCACTTCCTCTGGCAACTCATTCCATACACGCACCACTCTGTACATCTGTGACTCCACTTTCAAGGAACTATGAACCTGCTCTCCAAGGTCTCTTCGTTCAGCAACACTCCCCAGGGCCCTACCATTAAGCATATAAGTCCTGCCCTGATTTGCCTTTCCAAAAAGCAGCACCTCACATTTATCTAAATTAAACTCCATCTGCCACTCCTCTGCCCATCTGATCAAGATTCTGGTGTACTCTGAGATAATTTTCTTCACTGTCCGCTACAACTCCAATTTTGGTGTCATCTGCAAACTTGACTAACCATCCCTCCTATACTCACGTCCAAATTATTTATATAAATGACAAAAAGCAGTGGACCTAGCTCCTATCTTTGTGGCCCACCGCCACTGCTTTCAATCTAGGAGTCTGTTTAGTGAACTCTGTCTAGGGCGAGTATCGGCACCGAGACAAAAACTGGAAGGTTTTACATCAGATTCAATGTAAATTCAATTTTGCCTGAATTGGGCTGTGAGTGGAGAACACACAGTTAATCCCCACATGGATACAAATAGATGTGATGTTTTTGTGTGTGTGTGTGTTAAGTATCGGTAGCAATGTGAAATAAAGGGACTGAATTTTGCGGTTTGGTACTTGAAATTACAATGTAGCTGGAGAGAAGTGATTGATATCGTTCAGGGTTTGAAAATGTGATACTCCACTTCTGGGCTGGTATCATTTCGCCGTAGCAATTCCAAGACAGACCGTGCCATTCGCTAGAGAGGGGAACTCTTACTACATCTACAAGACAGTATTGACCACAACTTGAAAGAAAATATAGATTAATCTGTCCCTGTTTGCAGAGTTATTTGGTATGAGTGAGTGATTGATGTCAGTAGAAGGTTCCATGAGGGTAGGTACTGCCCCGACCCTCCCCGCAGAGCATTCCCCCCCTCCCCGGGCTGCCTATGGTCTCGGCCCCTTTCCCTATAATATAGGAGCATTCAGCTTCCTGATCAGTTCGCGTTGATTCCAGCTGCCTGCAAAAAAAAAAGTTGTTAATCTCTAGTGTTGGGTGTTATACCACCCTACACCTCTCTGCCGCAACAATGGTCCTCGAAATTGAAGTGAAGTACTGGTAAGACCGAGTCCGAGCTGATTCAGCAACGTTTTGCCCCTTTATTCCTCTCTTCTCTTTCTGAACCTCCCCCTCTTCTCTCTTTCTTTTCCTCCCCACCCTACCTTTTTGTTTTATCGACTTCTCCATCCCCTAATCTCTTTCCTCCCTCCATCTGTCTAGTCCACACGTTCTGTTTACCTCCCCCATCTCTCTTTTTTTTCCCTTTCTACGTCTGTCCCTCCCCTCTGTAGGAGAGACCCAGCAATTTCAAGACCACTTCTGCGGTTATAATTACTTGCATTGCTGTGACCGGATCACTGTCCATCCCACCAGATTGTTTGTTTGTTTTGAAGAGTTAAGAACATATGTGGTTTATACATAACAAAAGCAAAAATTGCTGCAGAACTCCGCAGGTCTGGTAGCATATGTGGAAAACATTTTCGAGTGCAGTGACGCATTTTGTTTTAACAACAATTTTTCTGCTTTTATTTCAGATCTTCAGCATCCGCAATTGTTTGTTTTTCATTCTAGTGTCTTTTTATAAATATCCCACTACAGGGGCTGAATGTATTTAATTGAAAATCTGCTCTAATTTAATGCATGTGGCTGTTTATAAATGTATCAGGGTCGGGAACATCGCGAAGGAGCCCAAACCGAGTGCTTTTTTTTTTCTTTGAGACGGTGACATAATTTTTGCAATCTGATTATGAAATTTGCTAGTATAACCAGTGACTACAAACCCGACTCAATCCCGGAGAGAATATTTATTTAGTAGAACGTGTTTTTTTTCTTTTGGTGTGTGGGCGTCCCTGGTAAAACCATCAATTGTTGCTCGCTCCTGAACTGATGCCTCTCTCTGTCATTTCAGAGGGCAGTTAAGACTCAACGATATTGCTTTGGCTCTGGAGTCACATGTAAGCCAGACCCCATAAGAAGGACAGCACACTCTTTCGCCAAAAGAAACAGATGGCTTTTAGAACGATTGCCAAGGGTTACACAGCCATACAGTAATGGAAACTGACCTCCTTTTGTCTAACTAGTCCATGCTGACCATAATCCCAAACTAAACTAGTCCCATTTGGTCAATATCCTTTCAAACCTTTCCTATTCGTGAATTTATCTAAATGTCTCCCAAGTGTTGTAATTCTACTGCTACTCCCATGGGAACAACACTTTTTTTAAAGAAATGGTTGCCCCTGATGTCCTCAAATTTTCTCTTAAAAAAAAATACCCCCCCAGTTTTAAGTACCCTGCCCTAGGGAAATAGACATGTTTTTACTGGCAGACTTTCAAAACTTGAATCCAATATAAATGAATTCAGTTAACATTAGGTGTTGTTGTCTCTTGAAATGATGTTTAGTTTAAAAGAATTATTAATGGGATGAGGGCATTACTGACTAGGCAGCACTTTTATTGCCCAGAAGGCAGATCAGAGTCAACCACATTGTGGTGGGTGTGCTGTAACATATTGGCCAGACCAGGTAAGGATGGCAGTTTCCTTCCCGAAAGGGCATCAGTGAACCAGATGGGTTTTTCCTGATAATTGACAAAGGATTCATGGTCATCATTAGATTCTCATTCCAGATTTCTTTTGATCGAATTCAAATTCCACCATCTGCCATGGCAGGATTCAAACCAGGGTCCCCAGAACATTATCTGGGTTTCTGGATTAGCAGTCCAGTGATAATACCATGAGACCATCGCCTCCCCAGTGTGGATTGAAATGACATGGGCTAGTGAACTCTTGTAGCACACAGTTCATTTTGGCTGTGGAAGATGCCTAGCCAAATGGGTTGGTTATTTTTCCCAGCCTGTAAATCAATGTAATTTAGCAATTAGAAGAGCAAGATTGGGGAGGCTGGCTAGCTGACAGAGGTAAAACAACACTACCTGCAGGTTCTTAACCATAAACAAGTGACACCCTTATTCCTAACCAACTACAATGCCTCTGTTTTTTGAGATGTGGCTGAAGTAACAAGTTAATTTATTAGCAACCTCCTGAGTCCTAAACTCTGGATTTACCTCCCTTAAAATTTCTCAACCTGTCTTTTTTTCCCCTTGTACTCCCTGTGAATAATCCCAGATGAATTCTGCACTGAGTAACCATGTCAGATATGAGTGTTGCTATGAAAAGGTTGGAATGTTATTGAATGTTTATATAATGACAAAGCAGTTCTTTTGTGGACATACTTGTTCCACATTTCCAGGAGACAAGGGATATGATAATCTAAATAACTTGCCTTTTTTGTTAACTTCTGGGATGTGGATGTTCCTGGCAAGAGCAGCATTGCTGTTGATCCTTAATTGCCTGGAAGCCTAGTGGCTTGCTAAGGTAGTTTAAAAGTCTATTGCCATGGATATGGAGTCATGTAGACCAGACTGGGTGAGAGTGGCAGATCCCCTTCCCTAAAGGGTGTTGGTGAACCAGATGGGTTTTTATGGCAATTGATTGTTGTCACAGCATCAGTGGCAAAAATAGCTGTCCATTCCAAATTGAGTTTAATAAATTAGCCTGAACAAATTACTGCTATGACACCAACACTCCTGACCTGATTAATGGCTGAATTTTATTTTTGACCCATTGCCAAATCACCTGTAGTTCTTAATCTATTGACAAGTGTATCACCCTTGTTTTCCCATTGACTGACTTGCTTGCATACCTTATCAAGGCATTACAAATCCTCAGAGGCAGGGGACTAAATCAAAATGGAGTCAGAGGGGGCGATAAAATACTGTAGACTCCTACCTGCCCCATGGTGCCCACCCTTCTCTAGAACCATCAACAGCACTAGTACCGTTTATTAATTTTAACCTTGAATCAAATTATGAATCCAGAGGCCTGAGCTAATGCTCTGGGGGCAATGGGGTGAAATTGCATCACTGCAGTTAGTGGAAATTAACACCAATTAAATCTGGAACTGAATGCATGAAACTAACATCAAAGATTTTTATTTCATAGAATCCCTACACTGTGGAAGCAGGCCACTTGGCCTGAGTCCACACCAACCTCCTAAGAGTATCCCACCCCATACCCTTTCCCTATCCCTATAACCCTGCATTTCCAATGGCTAATTCATTTGGCCTACACATCTATGGACACTTTAGCATGGCCAAGCCACCTAACATGCAAATCTTAGGGCTGTGGGAGGAAACCCACGCAGACATAACGAATGTGCAAACTCCACACAGACAATCACCTGAGGGTACAAACTGAATTCTTTCCTCACTGTCTTTTTTTCCAAAAGAAGTTAATCTTGCTGCTAGCAATGCAATTGACTCTTATCTGCCCTTGTTTCTCCAGCCATTTCATTCAGTCCAAGGGCCACTAGGGATGGGCAACAAATGCTGCCCTTTTCAATGAGATAATAAAGAGTGGGCATATGAGGGCTAACTGTTTAAGTCTCTCTGAAATTGCTCAGCAAGGCTCATTGTTCCCCACAACTGGCTCAGAAATGGACAAGAGGTTCAAAGCTTAACAAAACCTTATCTCGGATGACTTGGGATCAACAGCAAACATTGGCCTGGCAGTGATGCCCATGTCCATGAAAATAAATTATTCTCAAGAGTTTAACTTCCTTGCTCCTTTCCTCTCTCTTTGCAGTAGTCCTGTACACTATCAGTGCAAGATAATGGATTTTGAAGGAATTCACAATCCATAACTGTCAAAACTTCTAGTTCCCTGGCCATCACTGCTGAAGCACCTCCCAATTGTATTCTGGGATCTTCCATCAACTACTTCAGCAACTGACTTTTTCTGAGAAGATCAACAGTGGTGGTGGGGGGGGGAGAAAATTCAATTGTTCTCACTGCTTAGTCCCCAGTGCAGCAAAACCTGGACAACATTCAGGCATGGGTTGGAAAAAATAACTTATCAGGCACAAATGAGTCAAACATCTCTCTTGGGCATTCAGTGGCATGACCAACACAGATCCCCACCATCCACATCCTGCAAAGGTTTGGGGGGGAGGGGGGAAACACCATTGACTGGAAGTTTAACATGCCCATAACCCCACAGTTCCTGCAACCAGGACCTAAGACAGATGCTGGATGAATAACTTCCCCTCCTGTTTCCTCTGATCTTGTGTGCCACCAGTCAAAAATGTGACTGGATGCATGTACCTCTGATAACACTTGTGAAGGTCAACACTAAAGGAGCCTCAATTGTTACCCTATCCGTCTTCTTCACCAACAACCCAGGCAGCCCTATGCAATCCATGAGGCACTACAGACACTTGCCAAGGCTCCTTGGACAGCACTTTCCAAATACATGACCTCTACCCCCTAGATAGACAATGCTGGGAAGATGTGGAAATGCTAACCACCTACAAATTCTCCTCCAAGCCACATATGATCCTGACTTGGAAACATGTTGTTATTGCTACTTTTTATTACTGGATCAAACACAGTAAGGAACTTGCCTTCTGTCTTCACCCTTTCTCCCCCCCCCCCCCCCAGCCTGTCCACCATCTACAAGTCAGGAATGTGCTGGAATACTTCCTACTTGCAGGTCCCAACAACACAAGCTCAACCCCATCCAGGACAAAGCAGCCTGCTTGATTGGTACTAATGCTCAGTAGCAGCAGTGTGTACCACCTACAAAGTATGCTGCAGAAATCCAGGGCTTCTTAGACAGCATCTTCCAAACCCATGACCACTCAACTAGAAGGACAAGGTTGGGATGTATATGGGAACACCATTATCTGCAAACTTTGCCTGAGTGACATACCACCCTGACTTGGAAATATATTGCCATTTCTATACAGCTGGTCACAAAGTGAGTGTGTGCCTGTATCCACAACCCTCTGACTGCAGTGGTTCAAAAAGGCAGCTCACTACCATGTTAACAAGGGCAGTTAGGGACAGGTAACGTTGGCTTTGCCACACAATGCCCAAATTCTACGAACCAGTTGGAAAAATAAAAAGCACCAATTTCTGGGTGGAATAATGAACATGTTTACAGCAGAAAACATGCATCCAACCCTTCTCCACTTCAGCAGCAGGATGGCCTCTGGGGATCATTTACATGGAATTTTAAGTTGGGGGTGAGTGCAAAACACTCTAGCTTAAAAGAAAACCACATCTGTCAATGTCAGTCTGACCTAGTTTTGAAGTATTTACACTGTGCTGTGAGCTGGGTCTGCTGTTGCCCTTTGCCACTTGGAGATTGGCATTGATTCCTTCCTTGGCACCAATAATTCATCTTTAACCTCTCCTTAATTGGCAAGCAAACTTTTCTTCCTCCTTTTTACTAGCCAGAGGCAGAGACTGAAACCACTGCAGAAGCCAAATTGAATGCAGTTCAAAAGCCACTCCCTGCTACTTGTGTTCAGTTCCCTAAAGCTTTCTGTGTAGCATACCTAAATTGTAATTTTAAAAGATCTATTATTCAATGGTTAACTTTCTGCATTCATCTGTCTCATTTTTTATATAAGCACTGATCTGTAAAAATGCAACACAATCTGTGTGAATTGAGTTGATGTGAATTTTTTTCCTACTTGGTTCATTTCTTTTGATTAAATTCTTCTCTCTGGTGTTTAAACTCCCCCTCTCCCTTGCCTCGTCCCCAAAGCAAATGCTGGTCTAGCCAGTGATGCCTACATGCACCTTATGCACAGCCTTTAAAAGATAATACACACAGATTCTTAACATAATATACTTAACACTTTTTAGCTATAGGCTTTTTGAGGTTTACAGCATGGAAACGGGCCCTTCAGCCCAACTTGAGAATACTGCCCAGTTTTCACAATTAATCTAGTCCCATTTGCCTGTTTGGTTCCCTATTCCTCCATACATATCCCATCCATATACCTTCCAAATTTTTCTTAAAAGAAAAAGTTTGTACTTTCACCACTACCTCTGGCAGCCCATTCAAGCCACTCGCCATCCTCTGTGGGAAAACATTGCCCCTCTGGACCCTCTTGTATCTCTCCCTCTCTCCTTAAACTTGTGCCCTCTAGTTTTTAAACTCCCATACAATGAGGAAAAACTGTTGGCTATCTATGCCTCATGATTTTATAGACCTCTAAGGTCATCCCTCTCCTAAGCTTCAGGGAAAGAATTCCCAGCTTCTGCTTTTGACTCAAACCTTCCGGTCCAGATAGAAGATTCGCTAGGATGCTGTGTTCTTTCTAGTCTAATAATATCCTTTCTATTAATAGGGTAACCAGAACTGCACGCAGTACTCCAAATATGGTCTTGTACAGCTGCAACAAGATGTCAAAATTCCTGTACTGTGGCAGATGACAATATTGTGGTGGATTACTATCTGGTGCATGGGGGATCATTTCAAACTTTGCATATGATTCAAAACTTGGAAGCACTGCAAACTCTACAGTGTAGAAAATCAAAAGGATGTTGACCAGTTAGTGGGCTGATTAGATAGCAGATGCATTTTAATGCAAATGTGAGGTGATGCACTTTAATAGGAAGAATGTTGAAAGACAAACAAAACAGGATACAATTCTAAAGAGGGGTGTAGGAGCAGAGGGACCTGGGTGTATATGTGCAAAAATCACTTGACTGGACAACTACAGACTAGTTTAAAGTAGACAATATTCTTTGCTTCCTTAATAGGGCCTTAGAGTATGAATGAAAGGATATTGAGCTTTTTATAAGAATGGCTAGACCTCTGCTGGAAGACTGTACAGTTCTGTGTACCACATTGAGAAGGATCCAAATGTATTGGAGAGTGCAAAAGCTGTTTACAGAACCTGCACAAGGTTGGGAAACATCAACTATGGGTTTGGGGGAATGTTCTGAGGCAAAGGTAGCCAAGAAGAGATCTGAGGGTCTTCAAAATTTGTGGGAAGGCTGGATACAGTTGAAAGGGAGAAGACACTGGTTTAAAGTGTTTTGCAACAGTGGTGTGAGAACATGGTGAGCAATTAAGGTATGGAATGCATTGCTTGGAAGGTGTGGCAGAGGCATTCAAGAGGGTATTTGATGCCTATGTGGATAGAACAAGTGTACAAGGGTGAGAGAAAACAAAGATTGAATTGCACCAGGTAATACTCACTTGAAGACCCAGTATGGACATGAGCTGAACAGTCACCCTCTCTGCCACAAGGCTTCTGAGTTGGTGAATAACTGCGAGCCTTGACCACAACACATTGGGAACAAACTACTTTTTTAAAGCCAATTTTAAATTCTGTGGGCTAAAGAATTGACTCACTCCGCTTGTGATAACATTTATTTTTCTTCCTTTCTCTAGTGACTCCTGAGGTTACTCTGCCAAGGTAAGCAATTTATTGTCTAAGTAAAACTGCCAAATTATTTAGTCAACAGTGCCAAAATGGAGTATTGCATTGTGTTAGTCTCTATACCCCCATTGAGTCAGTTGGCTGGATTGCAAGTTTGCAATGCAGAGAAATGCTGACTGTGCAAGTTCAATTCTTGCACCAGCTGAGATTACCATGAAGGACTCCTTCTCAACTTCTCCCCTTAGTGAGGCATGGAGACTTTTTTGGTTTAAACTATCTCTTGAGGGAGAGTAGCCCTATGGCAACTTTAGCTGCCTCTTGAGGGCTTATTAGATTCCTGGACTGAAGATAATGTTCCATGAGGAGAGCTTGTATTCAGTGGGGGTTTTAGAGTAATACAAAGATTATCTTAAATGCAATGCTTAAAATTTAAGAGGCTTGATATAGTAATTGTCTTAGAATCTAGAATTGAAGCTTTAGGATAAGGGTCTATTGGGCTGAGATGAACAGAAGTCTGTTCATTTTTATAGGGTTATGAAAAATTGCTTGGCCCAATCAACTGTAGATCAGTGGTTAGAAAATAATAGATGCAGGGCTGGATGAACACAGCAGGCCAAGCAGCATCATAGGAGCAGAAAGGCTGACGTTTCGGGCCTAGACCCTTCATCAGAAATGGGGGAGGGGAAGGGGGTTCTGAAATAAATAGGGAGAGAGTGGGAGGCAGAAAGAAGATGGCTAGAGGAGAGGATAGGTGGAGAGGAAACAGACAGGTCGAAGAGGTGGGGATGGGGCCAGTAAAGGTGAGTGTAGGTGGGGAGTTAGGGAGGGGATAGGTCAGTCCAGGGAGGACGGACGGGTCAAGGGAGCAGGATGAGGTTAGTCGGTGGGAGGAAGAACAAGTTAGGGAGGTGGGGACAAGCTGGACTGGTTTTGGGATGCAGTAGGGGGAGGGGAGATTTTGAAGCTTGTGAAATCCACATTGATACCACTGGGCTGCAGGGTTCCCAAGCGGAATATGAGTTGCTGTTCCTACAACCTTCGGGTGGCATCGTTGTGGCACTGCAGGAGGCCCAGGATGGACATGTCATCTGAGGAATGGGAGGGGGAGTTGAAATGGTTCGCGACTGGGAGGCGCAGTTGTTTATTGCGAACCGAGCATAGGTGTTCTGCAAAGCGGTCCCCAAGCCTCCGCTTGGTTTCCCTGATGTAGAGGAAGCTAAGCTACAGCGGATGCAGTATACCACATTGGCAGATGTGCAGGTGAACATCTGCTTGATGTGGAAAGTCTTCTTGGGGCCTGGGATGGGGGTGAGGGAGGAGGTATGGGGGCAGGTGTAGCACCTCCTGCGGTTGCAGGGAAAAGTGCCGGGTGTGGTGGAGCTGGAGGGGAGTGTGGAGTGGACAGGGGAGTCCCGGAGAGAGTGGTCCCTCTGGAAAGCAGATAAGGGTGGGGAGGGAAAGATGTCTTTGGTGGTGGGGTCAGATTGCAGATGGCGGAAGTGTCGGAGGATGATGTGTTGGATCCGGAGGTTGGTGGGGTGGTACGTGAGGACGAGGGGCATTCTTTTTTCGTTCTTATTGCATGGATGGGGTGTGAGGGATGAGTTGCAGGAGATGTGGGAGACACGGTTGAGGGCATTCTCGACCACTGAGCGGGGGAAGTTACAGTCCTTGAAAAACGAGGACAACCGAGATGTACGGGAGTGGAATGCCTCATCCTGGGAGCAGATGTGGCGGAGGCGAAGGAATTGGGAATAGGGGAGAGCTTTTTTCTTTTTGCAGGAAGGTGGGTGGGAGGAGGAGTAACCACCTAGAAACCAATATTCATTTCAAGCCCACCGACTCTCATAGCTACCGAGAAAGCATCTGCTCCCAGGATGAGGCATTCCACTCCCGTACATCTCAGTTGTCCTTGTTTTTCAAGGACCGTAACTCTTTCTCCCCCCACCCCCCACACCACAGTGGTCGAGAACGCCCTCAACCATGTCTCCCACAACTCATCCCTCACACCCCATCCACGCAATAAGAACCAAAAAAGAATCCCCCTCGTCCTCATGTACCCCCCCACCAACTCCGGATCCAACGCATCATCCTCTGACACTTCTGCCATCTGCAATCCGACCCCATCACCAAAGACATCTTTCCCTCCCCACCCTTATCTGCTTTCCAGAGGGACCACTCTCTCCGTGACTCCCTTGTCCACTCCATACTCCCCTCCAGCTCCACCACACCGGCACATTTCCCTGCAACAGCAGGAGGTGCTACACCTGCCCCCATACCTCCTCCCTCACCCCCATCCCAGGCCCCAAGAAGACTTTCCACATCAAGCAGATGTTCACCTGCACATCTGCTAATGTGGTATACTGCATCCGCTGTACCCGGTGTGGCTTCCTCTACATCGGGGAAACCAAGCGGAGGCTCAAGGACCACTTTGCAGAACACCTACGCTCGGTTCGCAATAAACAACTGCACCTCCCAGTCGCGAACCATTTCAACTGCCCGCCTCCCCCCCCCCCCCCCCAATTCCTCAGATGACATGTCCATCCTGGGCCCCCTGCAGTGCCACAACGATGCCACCCGAAGGTTACAGGAACAGCAACTCATATTCTGCTTGGGAACCCTGCAGCCCAATGGTATCAATGTGGATTTTCACAAGCTTCAATCTCCCCTCCCCCTACTGCATCCCAAAACCAGTCCAGCTTGTCCCCACCTCCCTCCTCTCCCCTCATCCCACCCCCTTGACCTGTCCATCCTCCCTGGACTGACCTATCCCCCTCCCTAACTCCCCACCTACACTCTCCTTTACTGGCCCAATCCCCCACCTCTTTGACCTGTTTGTTTCCTCTCCACCTATCCTCTCCTCTATCCACCTCCCACTCTCTCCCTATTTATTTCAGAACCCCTTTTTCTGATGAAGGGTCTAGGCCCGAAACGTCAGCCCTTCTGCTCCTATGATGCTGCTTGGCCTGCTGTGTTCATCCAGCCCTGCACCTTGTCTCGGATTCTCCAGCATCTGCAGTTCCTACTATCTCAGAAAATAATAGATGTTTGGGCATTGATGGAAATCCAGGGATAATAGGGAACATGGGCTGAATTAGACCATTGATCTAATTTGAATTGTGGAGCAGGTTTAACAAGTCAAAATTACTTCCTCTAGCTCCCACTTCCCTCACAAATGAGGGCCATCCAACCTGCAACCCAGACTCCTTTGCTCGGAGGTGAAAATACCTTCTGAGACAGTCCCTGCATATGAATTTAATTCCACACTGAATTTGTGTGCTGCAGATAGTGCTCCTATTTCTATGAGCAAACATTGAATATATTTTAAAAAAAAAATCAGTGATTGACTTGGTATTTTTAAAAAAAAAAATTAAAAACCTAAAATCATTCTAAAGCATTGCTTTAGCTTCAGGGAACTTCATTTTAAAGAATAAATTCCTGTTTCCTTCCCTCTAGTTTGCAAATCTGAAGCAGGACCTGGAAAGTGAATTTCCGGATGAACTGGAAATTGTAAGTGAAGGCTTGGCAGAAAAAAATTAAGGTTTTTGAGTTGCTTGCTATTATCTACTGTTTCTTTAATTGGAAAAAACATAATTTTTTTTTCCCTCAAACACCAGTAATGCCACTTGGATTTCAGCAAATCTCATTGCCTTGATCAAAAAATACACTTTCTGACTTGATGCCAAGTTCAGGTTGATAACAGTCTTATGAAGTGCCTTGGGTGTTTCTTTATAGTTCAAATTGTACTACATAAATTTAAACAAAATTTGACTTGCATCTGCCCACTGTTAAGATTGATCTATTACTAGAGTAAAATACTACAGACACTGAATCTGTTTGTGAGAAGCTGAAAATGTTCAGCAGGTCATAGTTATAGAGCTGTACAGCAGGGAAACAGATCCTTCAGTCCAACTCATCCATACCCACCAGGTATCCTAAATTAATCTAGTACCATTTGGCCCATATCCCTCCTAAATCTTGCATATTCAGGTGCCTTTTCTAAACTAATTGTCTGGCAGCATCAGAGACAGAATGAATTTACTATTTCAAGTCTGCAATTTCTTTAATCAGTAGTGTTTTTATAGTTGTCTTGCATGCTCCTCTTTCTGCCTTCCCAGCAGAGTCCTGGAGACAGAGGCAACAGAATGTTGTGGCATGTGACAGTTCTGTGGCTTGTATATCAAATAATCTAAAATGTAGCATTATTTTCCTTTGGATTCCTCTTAAACTGAATTTTGAAAACTAAATTTTAAGCTGATTTCATACTTGTAAAAACAAAACGCAAAACTTGTTAATGTCTAATACAGACACCAGACATTTCAATAGCCTAAAGAAGTGCAAGCCTCCAATGAGGGTGACAGCAGGCACCTGTGTGGATACATGAGTACTAAGTTGTGCACTTGGAAACCAGCAAGACTGTGAGGAATATGTAAATGCCACCTCCCTCTATTAAGATGCTTAATTTTTTTTTTTTTTTGCACTTCAAAACCCAGGATCCTCTCCCAGTGTAAGATGGAGATTGACATTGTTATACAGAGTATCCAAGTATTTGTTTTCAAAGCACGTTGGATGAAGTTGAAGTATTATTATTTATTGAAATTGCTCTCTCCAGATTCCGATTCCAGTCAAAGGAAAAACAGGCTGTTTTGAGGTTTGCATAAAAGGCTCAACCAAACCTCTACATTCTAAACTGGTTAGTAAATATTGTTCTCAATCTCTCAATATAGGGGTGATCCACTGGGTTGATATTGTTTTGTCACTAATGGAATGAATATGTTGCTGGCTAGGCAGTATTTATTGCCCATCCCTAATTGCCTAGACGGCAGTCATGAGTCAACAACATTGCTGGTCAGATCAAGTAAGGATGGCTATTTCCTTCCCTAAAGGGCACTAGTGAACCAGATGGGTTTTTTCCAACAATGGATTCATGGACATCATTAGATTCTTTAATTCCAGATATTTAATTGACTTCAAATTCTACCATCTGCTATGGCAGGATTTGAACCCAGGTCCCCAGAATGTTGTCAGTGTTGAGATTAACAGTCCAGTGACAATACCACTAGGCCATTGCCTCCCCTTTACAGGATTGTTGTGTAATCTTTCACCCTGATGAGGGCTGAAGATACCTGGACTGCTGTATTTGGTCCCCATACCCCTCAAAATAGGACAGTTAACATAATCATGTGTGTGGCAGAGGATGCCTCTACCCTTGCTGAACTTTGGATTTTTGCACAATAATAGTGCATAAGCTGACAGGGATGCCTCCAACTTGCTTCACTTTCAAAAGAAAGGACATCAGTTTGAGGTGTAACAAATTAACCACTGGCTAGAAACAATTTTTAAAAACCCCAAATAATTATAGAATCCTGACAGTGTGGAAGCAAGCCATTCAGCCCATTGAATCCACACCAACCCTCCCAAAAGAACATCTTATCCGTGGAACCCTGCACTTCCCATAGCTAATTCACTTGTCCTGAACACTATCAGCAATGTTAGCGTGGCCAATCAACTTAGCCTGCACATCTGTGGACTGTAGGAGGAAACCCATGTAGACACAGGCAGAATGTGCAAACTCCACAGTCACCTGAGGGGAAGGGGAAATTGAACCTGAGTCCCTGATGCTGTGAGGCAGCAGTGCTAACAGCTGAGCTACCATACCACCCTATCTATTGTACTTTCGTATCAGTTGCAATCCCACCCTGGCAGTTTGACCATTCCATATTTACTTTTTCAAGACTTAGCATTAGAAATATGTCCAGGAAGTTTGTCATTAAACACACCTGTTTCACTAATATCTCTATTATTTGGGGAAGGAGTTCTGCAGCCCTTTTGTGTGTACATGTGCATGGTGTTGAACACTTTCATGTGGCCAATTCTTGGCTGACCCTCGCCTAGAGGATGATAATCACATCAAGAAACCACTATCATGGCAACTGGGGGATAGGCAACAAAGACCAGCAAACACCTACATGCTGAGGAGCAGTCTCTTAAACAAATCCTATTCTTCAGTTATCCAGTGATGCGTTGCAATGAGTTCTGCATTTTTGTTTTCAAATGATCACACTGCAAGTAATAGAGACTCCCTCCTTGTTAAATTCTGCTGGTGGGGAAGAAGCACCTACTCAAATGCACCAGACTACTTCATATTGGCTTGCCCCCTCATTATGTGCTTATCCAGGTCTAGTTGTGAACATGTTCCCTAACAGAACACTTGTGCGTAGCTTGGAGCAAAAGTGCTATCTTGATGGCCTTGAATGAGTTGGTTGTTAAACTTTTTATAGTGAGGTTTCTTTTAGGCCTTTTATCCACTAGGACAGTGGTTCCCAAAGTTTTCTCTCCAATTGCATTCTGAGGCTTCAAAATTTGTCACTGCTCCTCAGCAAGAGGGTGTTAGAAATTGGAAGCTCATTAGGTGGGGAGTATAACTTGGTCAGGGTTCCACAGTAGCCATTGTTGCCTTGGAGCTTGTGACCCTTGCGTTTCAATTGGCAACCCCACTGGGAGCCCTGACCACCTGCTTTGGGAAGCATTTCACTGAAATGGATCTGACTGCCCACACTTGTTTCAGATAGAGGTCAGGCTAGTAACGAGGATTTTGAATAGATTTCAGTGAGAGTCCTAGATTTGCAAAAGGACTGATCTCGTCTACCATCTGACTTTTTTCCCCCCTTAACTGAAGGGATACGATTATTTTTTAAAGATTTCATAAATGAAGGTTGACTGGAGTTTGAAACATTGATTATTTTTTTCTTCCCCAGTATTTTTGTAGTCCTGATCTTTTCACCTAAAGGATGTAAAGAAAATTCCAAGTTGATTCTTTCCTATTTATACTTAAGTTCCAACTTTTAAAACAACACAACTTTGTTTTACAGATTTAAAAACGAGATCACTGAGCACATTTGTTTTCTCCACAGGGTGGAGATGGCTTTGTTGACACCAAAGAGTGCTTTTCCCACCTTGTTAAAGAAATTCAAGCAGCCCTCAACAAAATGTAGAAGCTGTAATTACACTGGGTGAGACAGTAATTTTAAAACTTATTGGTGGCTAAATGTGTTGTGGTATACTTGAGCCGTTGGGATTGGGGAAAATCTGGATTGGCTGCTGGTTAGCATAGGCTGTCCAGTTAACACACACACACTCTCTCAAATTCTTACCTTATTTTTAAATCCATCCTTGGTGCTCTCCTCTGTTTTAGTAATCTTCTACAAACTTGATCTCTGCTTGCACAGCTCTAACTTTTTTAATCCCCTCTGCTGTTGGGGACTGTGCCTTTTGGGGCCCTAAACCTCTACCTTGGTTTCCACTTTCAAGGCACTCCTTTTGTGGTGAAACAGTCTCTCCTAAAACTTTTCAATACCACTTAAAAGTATCAAATCTTTCTTCTGGGTTTGATCATCTCTGGCCAGAGAGAATCAAATTCCCCTGTGACTGAAGGTTAATAGAGACACTATATGGGTAGAGGAGCCAGTTACACTGACACTCTACAATGCATCTAGACTGGCTCAGTTTATCTCCTGCAACTGGTACATATGCAAAGGGATTGAATGAAACCAAGAGGACTTGAGAAAAAGTAGACTTTCTTATCAGGAGGATCTTGTGGATTATGTAAACGACTCTGCATTTTTAATTTGTCAAGTGTTAGCACCAGTAAAATGAGACAACAGGTATTGTTGGCTCACGTGTAGGAAGGGCTCATTTATTCCTTCAACTGCACCATCCTAGACCAGGGCTGCTACTCGACTGCAAAGCAATTTCCTGCACTGACCTGTATCTCTCTGCCCTCAACACCTATCGACCTGTCTTGAATATACAAAATGAACGAGGCACCTTGTAACAATTAGCCTTGTGTTGCTAATTACAAACAACTACTGCATTGCTAATTTTTGATTAGTAATTCCCTAATCTTGTCACTTCTTAAATCAATGACTTAATGTCTGGTGTGTACAGTTCTTCTTGGAATTCAGTAGTGAAACCCTCCAGTATATGTTCTAAGTTGCTAAGACATTCATAGCCATTCAACAGGCAAATGGACACTTTAGTCCAATCAGTCCAAGTTGACTTTAATCCTAAAGCAAACTAGTCCCACCTGCCTGCTCCTGGCCCATATCCCTCCAAACCTTTCCTATTCATGTACTTGTACTTGTCCAAATGATGTGACTGTACCCACATGCACCACTTCCTCTGGAAGTTCATTCCATACAATAACCACTCTGCTTTTGGAAAGGGGGAAAAAGTGCTTGTCTTCTTTCCAAATCCTTCTCCACTCATCTTAGTGATGTCCCCCAGTTAGGAAAAAGACACCTGCCATTCATCTTATCTATAATCCCTAATGACACTATAAACCCCCATAAGGAGCCAATTCAGGGCCCAGGCTAATTTTGAGTTGACCGTCTGGATTGGTCTGAGGGATTTCCCAGCTCCCTGTCCTCCTAGGTTTTAATCCCCCCCCCCACCCCACCAAGGGGGACAATTGAATAAATGGGTAAGATTGGAGATTGAATGGCAGTCTCAATTTTTTTGGGTCTGAACAGGCAAGAGAACTTGGGGAAAATCAAGAACAAGAGATCACCAGTTTATGGTGATGGGCAAAAGATCTAATGGTGTTAAGGAAAATCTCTTTCATGCAGTGAGTGGTTATGACTTTGAACCCACTGCCCAAAAAAACTTAGTAATTATGTGGAAGAAAAACATTGTGGGACTGGAGGGGAAAGGTAAAGCAGTGGAATGATGTTTCTCCAACAGAGAGCTGGCAGAGTCACCAGCAGGCTAAATGTCCACAGCTTGTGCTTTGATTTGCTATCGTAATCATGGGGGAAGCAGTGCAAGCTGGGCTCATGAGTTGCCAAACCACACTCGCTGGGCATTTCTGTGCATAGGTGGAAAACTTGTGTAAAGGTCAAATGTGTTTTGTTCATGTAACTCTCTACAATGAACCTAAATATGCTTTCTGTTTCTTTCCTTCAATATTGTAGTTGAACGTCATTTTGCTTTGTTCACTTCGGCTGAACACATCATGATGGTGATGGCTGAAATGCCTGCAAAGGCATGGCTGTTTCCTGATGTCTCCCGTGGGATGTCGCAGTGACTGAAGTTATCTGGGGTTTGGCCTGTGGGTTTCAGGCTTAAATATTTTGTGCTTTTGCCACCACACCAGTGGTGACTTCAGTTTCTTTTTCTTCCTGCAGTGCAATGGCAAGCAATCCAATCAAACTATCCTTACTTTTGGAATTAAAGGGTATAGCCATCTTTCTAAGCAACCTGCAGCATATTTCATTTTTTAAAATGCTTGTTAATTCAGATGTTTCGTCCATAGACATGAGAGCCACTGGAATACTCTAACTGTTTAATTGGAATTCAGCCTATCCCCACACAGCAGTTCTCAGTAACTTTTTTTTTAATCAAATGGTCACTTTGTAAATTCTGTGTAATGCACCAAATGTGCACTGCCAACCCTGTGACGTTACTGTCTCCACAAAGGTATCTTGTACTCGTGTGGCTAAAAGGTGTGGTTTTAAAGTAGGATGAGGTATTTGATACCTAGTTTGGGGAGGGGGGCATGCAGAGGGAAATGACCCTTCACAACACTGAAGTTGCAGTGTAATCACTCTTAGTGTAGAAGTGGTTCTGAGTAAAATGCACTATTTTGTTAAATCCAACACAAGGGTTGGAAATGAATGGAAATTGAACAAGGTTTGTGTTTTTGATCTTGGTTGAATTCTGTTTCCATGTGAGCCGCTAGATTATTCAGTTTAAAAGTATGACCACTTAGATCTCCATTGGTGCAATGGCCCAATAATCATGTGGACCAAAAAACCATGGTACAGAGTCAGCAGAGCACTTTTGGTTTCGCTTTTGAAAATAGCATTTGGTGATTGAAGCAACACTAACTTCCACTGGATGGCAGTTAGACTCACTTTCTTGCACTTGTAGCATATTGACTTTACCATATTTGTTTCTTTAATGCCACCCAAGAGAAATGTGTAAGTTTAATAAAAATCTCAATGTTTGTTTTGGAACCTGTATCTTGAATAACAATAAAAATTAGTTTAAAAAATGTTTGTCTTAAGTTTTAACTTGTGCAAATATTGTTGCATTTTTCCTGTAATTATAGCTGTATTAATGTGCTCTGCCTTGAAGTAGCGAGCTTTCCTTTTGGTTTTTTTTTTTTTGGTCCTCCAAACAGCAAAACGAGTTACAGATCTCTATTGCTGTCCCCTTTAAGGTGCTGAGAAGAAACCTATGCCTGATTGGCATGTGTTAACTAAGTGAATGGAGAATCTTGCTCTGAGCTTCAAACAGCAAGAAAGGCTATTGGATATCAAAGCTGGCTTTTTTCCATTTATAGGATGACCAATGTTGGCCTGACCAGCAACACTACTGGCCAACCTTAAAACTGACCCTTCTAGCCCTGAGGGCAATCACTTGCAGTGGGGTCTGGAGTCAATAGGCCAGACCAGGTAAGGATGGCAGTTTCTGTCTCTAAAAGACAAGTGGGTTTGTTCAACAATCAACAATGGATTCATGGTCAACATTAGATTCTTAATTCCAGATATTTCATTGAATTCAAATTCTACCATCTGTGGTGGGGATCAAACTCAGAACCTTATCTGGGTCTCTGGAATAACAGTCCAACAATAATATCACTAGGCCACTGCCTACCCCACATTCAGCATAATTTCCCTGCTTACAGACATGGAACCATTTCATGAAGCTGAAGGTCCCGTATGATTACTGGTGTTACAAAGTTGTGAATTGGAAGGCAGGAAACTAAAATTTGGAGAAGGGGAAGAAAGCGTGTGGTCCCTTTTGAGTGCTTTTCTAAACTTAGAAAAAAAAGTCACTAAATATAGAAATGTCTATGTAACTGGTTCCATTTTAGAACTGGCTGTACAAGTATCAATTGGCTGTGTAATTGGAAACATAAGGTGTGTTTTGATGTTTTGGCAATGAGCTGGATTCAGCCAATTAACTTAAACCAAGCACTCAGCAACTGGAAAGCCAAGTGAATTTAAATCTAGTGTTGATAACGGGACCAAAACTAGTGTAAGAAATGGATGGGTCATCAAGGGTGCTTTTTAACTTTTTTTAAAAAAAAAAAAAGCATTTGGGGAAATCAGCAGAGCCAAATGAAAAGGTGACAGTAAACCTGCCATCTGAGGAATAAATACCTAGTTCTCACATGATCCCTATGGTCTCAAGCACCATTAAAAGGTACCACAGCACTTCTAGCTAAGACTCTTCACAGAAATGTCAGAAAACATCCCTGATGGCAGGACCAGCAGAAGAAAGGCTGGACAGACAGTGGAGAAGGCAGAGCATTTCAGAAGAGTTTGTGTAAACTTTAGTCCCCAAGTTTCAATTTATTGCTTTCTTATTACTTGAACTTAAGTGGGACCTGGTGTCTTATTTGAACAGCATACCAGCGGAGTTTAGTTCAGTTAGGGAATAGTTAGTAGTTTTGGGGGGGCAAATTGTTTGGTTTGTGAGTAATTCTGTTAATTTAATCACTTGTTACTTTTTTTTGCTCAACTTGTAAAGTGAGCATCTGGGATTTTTTTCACTTAATCTCCTCAACACCAATCTCTCTCTTTGTCCTACTACTTTCAAGGATTGACATGCACCCACAGGTTTTTATCCTAAGAACCCTGCCATTAAGTCTTTATTACCTCCTATTATCCCTTCTGTCAAAATACATCACTTCATACTACTTTGCATTAAATTCCATCTGTCACTCTGCTAGCTTTTTAAGTCTCAGTAGCCTCAACCCTTCTAACTGTGGAATTACTAGCAAATTTTGAAGTCTTAATACAAGTAACAAGATCTGACAACTATTTTTATACAGATTAAAAGCAGCTGTAGCACTGACCGTTAGACCACTACTGTCCTATTGCCTCCAGTCTGGAAAAACTACCATGTCTTGATCCTTTCTATCTTTAAGCCACTTTTTTTTATTTTTAAAAAAAAAAAAAAAAAAATAAATTCAACTGGCCACTGACTCTCCTATTTCCTAAGTCCTTTGTGTGATACCTTTTTTTGTCAATATGTATTTCAAGTAAGTATCACATCAATGTTCCCTATTACTTCACAAAGCTCAATTGTATTAGTTGAGCATGGTCTGCTTTTAACAAATCTAATGGCTCAGTCATCGAGATATCCTTAAGGTTTTCACATTTTCCGATCTTCTGACATCTTGCTCTATCTGGAAAGTTTGGAAAAATAAGGCCAGTCCCCTCCAGTATCACCAACTTTCTTAAGCATCCCGGGGTGCAAACTATCTATACCAGGTCACTATTTACACATAAGCAAAGCCAACTTACACTACCTTTTCAATTTTTATACCATCCATTGCCTCAAATCTCTTGACTTCTAACAATATTTTGTCACATTTGCTTGGTAAATACAATATAAAGAACTCTTAAGCATTTTAGACTTGCCCTGCTTTTTAAGCCTATATCCCCTTCTTTCTCCAGCATACAAATCACTCACTATTTAAACACAGAACTTTAGGGTTTGCCTTTTTAAAATTTTTACACATCCAAACAGGTTGATTTATGTAACACATTTCTGTGGACATCCCATGTTGAGATGGAACTTGAACCCAGACCTTCTGGCCTAGAAGTAGGGACAGTACCACTGTGCCCTTGGGTTTCCATTTATATTATTGCCATTGCATTTTCTTTATCTCTTTGTCAATCTTTATTTTCCTCTTCACCTTCTCAACCTATAGTATCTTGAGCTGGTTCTCAATGAAGAAGTAACCTGACATGCATTGTGTACCCTAATCTTTGTTCCATCATAATCTCTATCTTCTTCATCCAAGGAGCTCTGACTATTGCTCATTACTTACTTGTCTTTTGGAATGTACCTAGACTCTAATGTATCTCTTCCTTGAAGATAATGTATTGATCAATTAGTTTTTTCCCATCAACCTTTGCCATTTACCCTGGCTAGATCCCTTGTTGTCACATGGCAATGAGCTCTCTTTGAATATAGACATTTAGATTTTAGAAAGGAACAAGCAACAATATCTGTTGTATTCATCCATTAGCTATTTTGAAGCTGAACCAATACTACTGCTTTCTGCGCTCAGTAATTCAACCCTTTCTCTATTTTTTAGCATACTTGTTTTACTTTTGCTTTGAAGTACTAATCAGGGAAACAATTAAAAATAGAATTTAAGAGTATACTACTTATTTTAAAAAAAAAGTAGCCAAAGGATGATATTAGAATTTTGTCTAGAAGTTCTGGGTTTCAATTTCACTCTTGGATTTGTTGGACACTTAAAGCATCTAAATTAGTGATTATCCTTCTACATGATACAGGCTAAGTTTTTGGTCAGCCAAGCTTGATATGCAATAGGCCTATCTCGCACCAAGGTGGTGACTTGTTCTAGGATAAACAAGCTACAGAAACCAATGTAAACAAATGCTTTGACAATCTCAATGTCAAAAGCTTTCCAAGTCAAAGCCAACTTTGTAACAGGTTTTCAATAATACAATCCAATCAAAGATAAGAAAACAAACCTATGAAATCTTACCTGCTACAAATTATGTACTCTAATTCTGCCAATGCTGACCTATCAGTGGAAGATATCAGGAAAATTATATGCTCCCTATCTAGGGTGACTTGCAGGCACAAGTATTGCTGTAGAACAGAAACAGAGTTGACCGTCTGTCCCCTTTTCATCCATGTGCAACTTGAGCCTATTAATGGCCAACTTCACCAGGCCTAAGGACAGAGGAGGAAGTCCTCCTCAACACCACATCCCAATAAGCCCAGGAGAACAATGGCATCAATGCTGTGATAATGACAACACAATTGTGGGAAAGCTGAACTCATAGGAATGACAATGGAAAAAATGCATGAGGTCTGATTCAGACACAAATATTGCCTCATTTTCGAATAAATGGTCCCTTGCTGAAACCTGTGATCAGTTGAGTTTAAAATATGTCGGGAATGTTTCTTTACAATCTGTATTTTTAGCAAATGCAACAACTTGCTTTATAAATTCCCACTTGGGATTTTTTTTTTGTTCATTCTATGGATGTGAGCAATGCTAGAAAGGTCAACATTTGTTGCCCATCCCTAAAGATACTGGACCTTCCCTATACGGAATATTAATCTATGGTCTAAGAAACTGAGCAACATTACATTATCTACAGCACTAGTTCAAACTGGTCAATGCCGGTGATTTTGCTCCATGTCGGCCTCTCTCTCTCTCATATGTTCTTCTACCTTTATCAGTGGGAGAGGCATTTTGGTAAACGGCTGAAGGTGCAAATCAAAAATAGATGTCGTGAAGTATTTGGCAGGTAGGAAGAATGTTGATGACAGGTGTTAGCGCATCGGAGAAGACACTAGACTAATATTAGAAAACCAGATAGCATGGTCTGGAACATTCAAATGAAAAAGCTTGCAAAGGTAGGTTAGTAAAGACCAGGGAAGGTTTTTCAAACAATAATGAGAACTTCACTTTTTAAAAAAATTCAATGCATCAGAGGATAGGAAGCCATCAGAGATGTGAGAAAAGCTGCAATAAATTATAATTGTAGGATCACATGTAGGTTTCAGTAGAGGTAATGTCATGGTAATTGTTACGATGTTGTCACTTTAGGCGGTTATATTGTCCTTTTTTTCAAAGAGGGGTTGTAAATTAGAAGTGCCAAACTGTCTCTGAGAAAGTAAACAATTTGTGAGGCTTTGGGGTGTTTTTTTTAAAAGTTGGAACAATGGAAGCAGCCTAGGAGTGGTCAGCTTTCATAGAGCAGGCTTTCTAGTTTTTTTTAGTTTTAATCAGAAGCCTTTGGGGTCTCAACACATTGGACACTTCAGTGAATGTCTCCTAGTTGCTACTTTGTCTGAATTTTCTCGATGTTTTTAACTCCTGGATTGGAGAACTGCATGTGAGAACCTGTGTCTGGATGTGCCTTTTTGCCAAGGGGTGTGTTTATGGGATGTTCCTATACTGGGAATCATAATAGGTACTGTATCTATTATTCGGTTAAATTTTCCAATGGTTAAATTTATTCTAAATTCCTCTTTCTTTTGTTCGTATTTTAACTACAGTGTTTAAATAAATTGCTTTTGCTTAATGTCGAGTAGGTTGATAGTCATGCTGCATCTGGAACACAGCACTTCACATCCACCTTTAAACTAAGAAAAAGTTGTGGTCTGGGCTACCTTCTTAAAATGTATTGAAGAAGTCTGGTCGGGGCCATAACAGTAGTACAGCAAAGATCTTGAAGAAGGGGACAATAGAGATGATGTAGTTTTTGAAGACAATGACAAATCATTATGAGAATAGTAATGAGGGCAGTAACTTTTAAGATAAACTTTAAGGATATCAGTAAATACTGAGAGGTAGCTTGTGAGGTCTGGTCTTGGATGATCAAATCATACAGCAAATTTGCAGATTGTATGCTGGAGTCACAGTGAATACCAGGATGGAAGATTGGGTTATATGGCTGTCTAATTTGAAATCAGAGAAATCATTCATAAAATTCACTAAGGCAGCAATGCAGTTAGCAGGTGAGCAGTCAAGGAGAGTAAGTTGGGAATAGAATATGTTCTAACATGTGAGTGGGAGAAAAGTGGTCTGGCAAGATCTTTGGGTATTTTAGTTGGGCAGGAAGAAACAGATAATACATCAGAGGTACTCTGTCAATTACAAAACCTAAGAGATAGTTACATGATAGTGAAGTCAATCAATTACCTGGGGAAATGTGTGTAGAATACCACAGTCTCTACTGACTCACTTAAAGTCCAACTCTTCCTGGATGTCTTCTCCCTGCTTTGCTAAGGTCAATCTTCCATTCTCCTTTTAGACCAAATCTTCTTCACTCATCCCTTTCAGCATAATCACATGGACTTCCTGTGATGATTCCATAGACTCGAACATTACACAATCCTTATTTTTTTGAACATGGGTTCCATCCTCACTGGCTCTTCTCCAGGAAGTTCAGCAAAAAAAAGCCCTTTTCCACTACTTGGTTTGGCAGCTCCTGTTCTGAACCAAATATTCCAGTTTTAGTGATGATGAGAGACTACAAGTCTGCAGCAGCAGGCCAGCTACCTTTTCCTACGTCAAGTTCATATCGACTTTATCAGGGCTTCTTGCACCCATAGAAACTTGGTCAAATACAGGACAACTTTATACTATCCCCACAGCATTGTTTTGTCTTAAATTAGTGTTTAAAACATAACCATCTTTTAAATCATCCAGATCAATGTTTCTTCAATTCTGGCCTATTGCTGACACCTGATTTTTTTACTACTCCACAATTAATGACAAAGTTTCCAGCTACCTGAGCCTAGGCTCTGGTCTTCCCTCTTAAACATTTCTGCTGCCAATGACAATCTTCTACTTTGTAGGTGTTATATAAATGTAAGCTGATGTTATTACAATAAAGCTTCTAACATTGAGCAGTGGAAAATAGCTGGAGCCATCAGACTATAATTGTACTTAAGTAGCACCATATACTGGACAGTTGCCAAATACTTGTTCAGCTGGTGTCACATTTCCTCCTAACAGTACTTTCATGTAGGTTTAGCTGAAGTGCAATAAAAAGAATCTGCAATGTTCCAGGATCTATTAAGCTTGACTGGTTACCAATTAGCAACGATAGCACCTACATCAACAAGACTGTGCCCCATTTCTGAAGAAGGGTCCTGACCCGAAACGTCAGCTTTCCAGCTCCTCTGATGCTGCCTTGCCTGCTGTGTTCCTCCAGCTCCACACTGAGTTACCAAATTGGGCTGATTACTTTATTCTTGTATTTCTTAATCACTTAGAGATAGGATTGCCACCCTTAGGAAGTGATTTTTTTGGCTACTTCAGGGCAATTAAGTGTTAGTCATGTTGGTGTGGGATTTGACTCACATATAGCCTGGCTAAAGATGATAGGTTTTCTTTCTGAAAGAACTTGAATGAATCAGCCTGGTTTTTAATAACAATCTGAAAAACTTCATGGTTGTATTTGCTGGTACAAATGTTTTAATTCCAGATCTCTACAAATTCCACAGTAAGGACTTGAACTCCATTCTCTGAATTTAGGTCAAGTCTGTTACTCCTATGATTTAGATGCTAGATTTTACTCCTGTTCGGCTGCGATCTTGCCGCCTTCAGCAGCTTTATTGTCGATGGCTTTATTAATGGCCCAAAACAATGAAATCTTGAAGAATATCAGTTTTCCAACATACTGTATATACTGGAGTAAAAGTCAATCTCATGTAAAAGTCAACCCCCTATTTTTGGCCAAAAAGTCTTGAATTGTCTATGTATCTCATGTAAAAGTCGACCCTAGTTCTTCACAGATAATTTGGATTTTAAGGCAAGAGCTGGACGGTGTTCGTTCTCATCTGTCAATGAAACTTCCTGAAGTGTACCTTTACTCTAAAGATGGGGATGAAATTGGATTTAGCATTGTAATGTTAGTGACCTGCAGGTGGAGATAAAGTGCTGCCATTCAGTCTCCCAGGTTTGGTGGGATTGTTTTCGACTCCAGGATACTGTAGCATTTTAACAGCAGCTTTATTTTCATCAAGTTTTGTTCCTTTGACAGAGTTTCAAAGGAATGAACCCGCTAATTGAGAGAGCTTGGGCCCAATGACTTAACTGTTTTACTGAGAGTGACAGACAGCTTTTGGACACAGGAGCAAATGGAAAAGATTCAGGGTTATTTTGTGAAAGAATAATCAGGTTTTAATTTACAGGAAGAATAATCCATCTGTTTGTTCTTATCTGATGACAATAAGCAAACGCTCACATGAGCTGTAATGCTATGAGAATTATGCCTCTCACAGCCCTGCTCATTTTTCATGATGCTGGATCACAGAAGTACCAGTAAGTACCGTAATTCATTTATTTTTATTCATTTAGAGATCAACTGGGCTTCTGCTAATGATGCGGTATTTTGGACTGCAGCATGAATTTCAGCCCCCCGAAAATAGTATCTATGTAATAGTCAACCCTACAAATTAACTTAAAAAAAGTCTAAATAAATTCAACTTTTACACGAGTATATACAGTATCTTTATAGCAAAGGTCTCTAATTTGCAGCCCCAACTCCACTAATACACCTTGGCTGACACTTGTTAGTTTGCATATTATTATCTTTACATGGATTATATTCTGGTGTATTTTTGTAAACGTATTTTTCAAAATTTCTTAGTACACCTGTCACAAGTGTTAACAAATTCCAATATTCCCCCTCTCTATTACCAGTAATGAAATAAAGGATTTACATTTCATCTTCCTTCTTATTGAAGGTCTTCAATCCATAGTTGCATAGTTTAACAAGCACCAGCCTTTCTCTTGACACTTGTGCAAAGAATCCAGCATTCACAGATATGCTGAAGTCAAAACACTACTCAAATATCCAGCTGTGGTCAATAGTGCCACTGAACATCAGTGTACTTGAAAACAATATGGCCTGATAGGCTGTGTGTCAATTTGTAAATCTTCCAAATTACCTGCCCACAGCAGGCAGTAACAGCAGAAGAAAGTCCTTGTCAACCATACGGTGGGGAAACATATAGAGTCTCTGCCATCACTGGGGGGGAGCGGAGGAGATGTGTTGCCCAGAGGGCAGGTTTTGCTCAGTTTGTTGGACAGTCAGTATGCATCAGAATGGTGTCAGCAGCTGGGGTTAATCCTACCAACTGGGTGGATTTGGCACCTGCCTTTGTGATAGGACCTGCTGTTGGGCACAAAACTGACGCATCAGCAGCAACAGTGCCGGAAGATCAAGGCACAATTCATGGCTACTCCTCAATCTAATTAATCTTCATTTTGGGTCAAAGTTGGAATTACAATCACAAAAATCTACAGAAAATATATCTTAAAGCTGGTGCACAATAAACCAATGCTTGGACATTTCACTTTTGTTGTATGGGGTAATTTAGAGTATAAAAAAATTATATTAAAAACTATATTAAAAGCGTTACATATTTCATTAGCATTTCCATCAAAATTGATTTATCCATGTTTTTAACGATTTACACGTTAATTGCCCCACCAGCACAGGCAGTGAAGCACCACCACTGGCCAGAGAACATAATTACAGCTTGACAAATTTATTTAGCCAGTTTTCATTTCAAATGCAATGTATAATTTTATAATCACAATTTAAAAACAATGGAATGTCTGATTTTAGAAACTGAGGTTGAATTCCATCCTTACACCCTAGTCCTTGATCTGTTAATTTACTTTCACCCAAATGCTTGATAGGTTTTCAGTCCACATATGTAACGCCACTAGAAATAACCAATTAAATATTTTTCAAATTGCCAATAAAATTAGATTTCAGGCTTTTATGCAATTAAAACAGATTTTTAAACTCAAATAATTCAATTTATCATTATCGAATTATTCCTGTTATCAACAAAACCAAATTTCGAAACACATAATTCTGTGCTTAGATTTTCAGGGGAACTCCTTTAACAGGTATGTTTAGTTTTGTAGTTCTTCCTACTTGGAGGGAAGTGTTCCAGTTAGCAATATAGTTAAAAGTTGGCAAACACGTTCTTCAAAAGATCTGAAAACATTATTCAAAATTGTTGGCATTTCAAATGTGAATTTATGGTCCCTCAGAGTTTTGGTAAGCTGCAAAAAAATATTTGATTCAATTCTAGGTTTAATTAAAATAGATATATAAACCTTTGGAAAATGTCAACTTTATAATACGCATAATGCTTTATCTTCTAAGATCACAGAATGAAACAGCATCAGGATGAAATAAATGACTGAAGGAAAACATCATTGTGACTTAACAGTGTAGAAAAATACTGACCCCACAATGAGGCGTCTTATTGTGAGGCTAATTATTCTTGTCTAGTTACCTGGATTTCAATTCCACTGTAGCAGATGGTGAAATCTGAATTTAATGATCTTTAAAAAAAAAATCTGGTCCCGTCTGGATCACCTTGTCCCTTGCAGAAGGTTTTCTGCCATTCTTACCCGGTCTGTCTTACATGTGACTCCAGACCCACAGCAATGTGGTTCGCTCTGAGCTGCCCCTTGGGATGTACAACAAATGCTGGCCTAACAAATGATGCCTACACCCCATGGATGAATAGGGAAAAAAAAAGGTTGATCACACAAGTAAAATTATAATTAATAAGGAGAAATGGAATGAATTGTGGGGTCGTGAAAAAAATGAGTGTTAAAAATGAAGGCCCCCAAACAATAGATAATTGAATAAGTAAAATGTGGTCAGAAAGAGCACAATGCTTAATTTTGAGGTAGAGATTAACTGCAAGGAAAAGGAACAATGAATAATTCCCCCACTGGGAAATAAAAGTTGTGCAGAAAAATTTAACAAGAAGAAATTGGATAAATTATGGGGTTGATGAGGGAAAAAAAGAGTGAAAAAATGAAGACGCCTGCACAAAAATATGAAAAGTTGGCTCAGGGAAATAAGACAGAAAAAAGAAGGTTGGAGTATGGGGTGATGAGAAAGTGGGAGGGGGATTAAAAAAAAACCACCATCATCCATCCATGAAAGAAGCTGGGGCCAAATGAATTAAAATCAAAAAGAAACTGACTGGATTATGGAGTAATGAAAGAAATGGGAGTAAAACAATCACTTCAGTGAAATACAATTAAAGATGAGATGTTAGTTGGGACATACAGTGAAAGAATGCAAGATATCACCCCCTGCCTGCAAAAGATGAAATGTTGTGCGAAGTGACATTAAAAAGGAGAAATCAACTGGACTATATGGTGATGAAAAAGAGGGACAGGGTTAAACACAATGAAGAACTCCACACACAAAAAGAATGAAAAGTTTGGCCCAGGGAAAATTAATAGAAGAGGAGAAATTGGCTGCAGTGTGGAGTGAAAGACTGCAAGAACCCTTCCATCCACATAAAAAAAAATTACAAAGGGAAATTCAGTGAAAACAGGAGAAATTGGAGTTTTTTAAAAAAACGAATAGTCACCATGGTCCTATCAGATCATATGGGTATTCTCTCTTTAGAAAGAATGACGAGGTAGTTTTACCCGAGGGTCACCACACCTCAGGTGAGGGGAGAGGCCGAGAAGCAGAATCCTTCATGGCAGTCTCAGCTGGTGTGACAATTGGACCCATGCTGTTGGCATCACAAACTAGATGTCCAACCAACTGAACTCACTGACCCCAGTGGTGGTTGGAATGTGGGGTTACCAAAAAAGATGAACGATCTCTATCCCAGAGAAATGAAAACCTGGCCCAAATGAAACATGACAAAGGAGAAATTGGTTGGAGTATGGTACGCTGAAGAAAATGCAATACCTCCACCCCTTAAAAAAGAAAGTTTAGTCCAAATGAAATACTAAAAAGGAAAAATTGATTGGACTACTGCATGATGAAAATTTGGAAGGGATTTAAAAAAAAAAAGACATGCATCCCTCCCACCCAAAAAAAATGAAAACTTGGGCCAAGTGAAACATGACATAAGAGGATAAAATGGTTGGAGTACAGTGTGATTAAATGAAAAGTTGGAGGGGTGTGGGCAACTGAATCTCATGAAAGAGAAATTGTTGAACTATGGTGTGATCAAAAAGTGCAAAACCTCAGCTGAAGCGTTGGGTCAAAGAAATGACTTATCATAGAAATCAAATGAACTATGAGACGAAGAAAAAAATGGAAAGGGTAAAAAAAAATGAAGAGCCACATCCCAATAAAAGAAAAAGCTGGCCTCAGGGAAACATATGAAAAAGGAGAAATTGATTGAATATGGAGTGATTAAAAGAAAGATCCTCATAAAAATGAAACATTGTGGCAATTGAAAAAAATGATGAAAGAGGTGAAATTGGTTGGAGAATGGAGTGATTTTACAAAAAAGGAAAAATTGGGCCGAAGAGTCATAGAGTCAACAGCATGGAAACAGACCCATCCGTCCAACCAGGCTATGCCAGACATAATCCCAAACTCAACTAGTCCTACTTGTCGGCTCCTGGTCCATATCCTTCTAAACATTTCCTATTCATGAACTTATCCAAATGTCATTTAAATGTTGTAATTGTACCACATCCATCACTTCCTGAGAAAGTTCACTGCACACACAAAAAAAACCTTGTGTGTTAAAAAAAAATGCCCCTCATGTCTTTAAAACTCTCTCTTAGCTTAAAAGTGTGTCTCCTAGTCTTTGAAATATGATTAAAAAGAAATTGATTGGACAATGGAGCAATGAAAACATGGAAGTGGTGAAAAAATAAAACACAGGATCTCCCACAAAAATAAATGAAAGTTGAGCCAAATGATCAAAAAGGGAGAAAAACTGAGTTGCTCTGCATGGGTAAAGAAGAATTAAAAATGGCCAAATAATCAAAAACAGAAAGTGGGCTGCCTTCCATGGGTGAAGCAGCATAAAGTGGTTAAGATTGAAAAATACCTAAATAATAAAAAGAAAATCCAAGAAGAATACTCAATAAGATCAAAAGTATAAGACAGGAGGGTGAGTGGTAAGAGTTGGGCAAAGTTGGCCATGTTTCGGGCCTCGTGTCTACTGATGGCCTGGCCTGGACGCGCGGTGCACTGTGGGCCGGTCACCCCCCCTCCCCCCCACCGCGGCCGCCATTTTCTCAGCCCCACAGACCGGCGGCCCTTTTGTCTCGGTCAGACCCGGACTCGGCTTCTCCTTCCGTGGAAAAAAAATCAAAGGAGAAAAACAAGAGGTGCGCTTTCCCTTTCTTTTAAAAAGATGTCCCCTTTTAAAATGTAGTGTGTGTGTGTGCGTGTATTTGAACCACCGGGGGCCCGTCGTCGCCCTCCTCCTCCTCTGGGCCCCGGGGTGCTGTAGTGTCGAGGAGGGGGGAAGCCCCTTTTTCCCTTTCCTTACCTTCTCTCTCCCGGCGGACTTTAACGAGGCGTTTTTTTTTTCCTCTGTTATTTTAAAATTTTTGACGGGAGGGCTTTGTTTGCTAGTGAAATAAAAAAAACCTCCCAACATTGTTGTCGACGGAAATCCGTCGGGGGGGGGGTGGTGAAATTGACTTAGCGCCCGATCGACAGTCGAAATTAAATATTACAAAAAACTCCCACTGCAGGAATTGAGGTAATTTTTAAAAATTAGATTCTATTCAGGAGTTGAGAAAAAAAACCTGTTCTCTAGCTCTCTTCATGAAGTCTAAAGACTTTGTTTTTGGTTTCTGAGAGGAATTGGTCGAGAGTTTGTCGTGTTTTTTTTGGTCGCTGGTTTTGTTTTTTTTCCTTTCCGCTCCCGCCGCAATCGGCTCTTCCCCCTTTTTCTGCCATGGCTTCGCCTTCATGTTTCTCGCACTCGCCTGCGCAGCCGCCCAACCGACCCCGGGCTTTAAAAAAAAACCGCCCGCCCAGTCCCGCCCACCCCAGCCGCTAATTGGTCGCGGCCGCCGCGCCCATTGGCCAGCCGCCGCTGTCCATCACCCTGCCTGGGGCAAATGCCCCGCCTCGTTTCCCTGTCCGCCGCGACCATTGGCTTCATACCGCCGTCCATCACCTGTCTCGGTGCCCGTGGATACTCGCAGGGTTTAACCTGGCATGGGTTACCGCCCGCTTTGTCAGCGGCAGCACGGATTGGCCCGACGCCGAGATGTCCATCATCCGCCTCCTGCCACTTCTGGCTACTGACTCGCTTCCGGTGGGATACAATTGGTCCCTGTCATTTACGGAGTACAAATGCGACCCCCACCGCTCTGCATCATGGTTATTGTGGTCCATTTTCGTCCTCGCGGTAGCGGGGGGAGGGGTCGTTCAGTGGCCGTTGCTTTGCACTCTGGGAGTTGTAGTTCTTTCCCGCTACCTTCGTCATGTTAAATTCCTTCGAAGGAACTATATTACCCAACATCGTATTTGCACGCTGCGAATCAGTTGTCATTGAACAGATGTAGACAAGGTTGGAGAAACGTAAAATAAACGTTATTAATTGCACAAGTGAATGTATGGTTTCTTTAAACATTGCAGTTTGTAAAATGAGATGAATGGTATGTGGCCGTGGTTGCAAATACGACTTTGTATCTCAATTGCTTTGTGAGCGGAATGTAATGAACGATCTCGTAATCAAAATTTGGTCAAGTTTTCCTAGTGGAAAGCCGACAGACTTGAAAGTGAAGCAAACAAAAACATGAATTGCTGAAGGAACTCGTAAGGTTTGGCAGCATTTGTGAAGAGGGAAATAAAGTTAACATTTCGAGTCCAATGACCCTTCAAGTCTGGAAACGTTAAGTCTGTTTCTCTCTTCGCTGATGCGGTCAGCCTTGCTGAGTTGCTCCAAAATTTTTGTTTTTGTTTTTGTTTTAGATCTCTAGCATCCGCAGCTCTTTGATTTATATTAGACTTGAAAGTACTATGGAAGAGAATGTTTCTTTGGTCGCAAATCAACTTTGCAAATGTTAGGTTTGGCAAGGAGCAATAGCTGCGAATTTGAAGGTTTTTTTTTAGAAACTTTAAATACTACCGCATATTTAGAGGATGTGCCTATAACCAATTTAATTGTGAGAGATTTTATTCCTTTTTCACTTCCATTGAGAGTAAATGTAGGTGGGTGAAGCACTAAAAAAAATCACTAGAGGAATTCCATACTAAAAGAAATTTTCAATGTTTGGTACTATATATAATTTCTTGTGTTCTGACATGGAGTAACAGGATGGTTGCAGCACCGATGGATGTCTGTCCATCTCATCCTGTCTATGCTGGCTCTTTACAAGAGCAACTACTTTTCTCCAACTGCCCTGCCTTTTTTGTATAGCCCCACATTTATTTTTTTCCCTTTTCAGACGATGGCCCAATTTTCTTTTGAAAGCCATAACTGAAATTTGCCTCCACCACATTCTCACCCATTGTATTTCAGATCTTAATCACTAGGCTACCCAAAAAAACATTTTTTCCCCAAACCATCTTTGACGTTTCTTTTGCCATTTGACTTCAATTTGTTTTCTTTGCTTTTCGATCCTTCAGCTAAGTGAAACGGTTTCTCCCCATCTATTCTGTCCAAACACCTCTCAGTTTTCAACATCCCTGTCAGTTCTTTGCAAGAGAAGAAAGGTGGTTTTTTTCTCTCTGGAAGTTGTGTGACTTTGGAACTCTGCCTCAAAAGGCGATGGATGCGGGAACTAGCAATTTGTCCAATTTTTTGTTTTAGAGTTAGACTAGAGTGATATTTGCAAAGTAGCAAAGCTGACAAAGCAATTCCAAACCACCCTCCCCAGCATCAGGAATTTAACTGTACAAATCTTGAGCAACTTAACTAGAACCAACTGTAGGGCTTTTTTATATTATGATGTTCAGAGCTCCACCTAATGGCAACATCAAGAATTGTTAAAGCTGAGTTGATCGGCGTGAAGGAGATGCTGGGATTCAAATTTGCTATTTTCCATTTTATTTTCCAAGAGAGTTATTCATAACACAATACCTTACACCTTCAGCTTTTAATAGTGGGCAAACTCCATTTCATGTACCTTGTATTTTTGTCAATTCCTCACTAACTCTGCCGTTGTTTCCCAGTGCAAAGTTTGTACGATCTAGCAGCGGTTTGGAAGTCTCTCATTTACTATGTTGCATTTTCATTGCTTTCCTTTTTACACAGCATCTTGGCTTGAAATCTCCTTGCAATGGCTCGTACTAAGCAGACAGCTCGTAAATCGACTGGAGGCAAGGCCCCCCGCAAGCAACTTGCCACTAAGGCAGCCCGCAAGAGCGCCCCGTCCACTGGTGGAGTGAAGAAACCCCATCGTTACAGGCAGGTTTCATAATTGTGGCATTGTCTAGGATCTGCTATGTTCACTTTGAAAGGAGGATCACAGTGAGAGGATATTCTACTGTTCACTGCACTGTTTCACCTGGTTTTTGCTGTGCTTTGGGGATTGTTACTCTATCGTAATAGAGGATAGCACGTAGAAGTATCTGTAAAATATCAGTTATCTATATGACTTTCATCAGACCTGCACCTTGTTAACAAGGTGAGTGGAGAAGAGAAAAGCTAGGCAAACAGGTGCACTTAGATACAGATCCTCCATAAAGTGGCTCACAAATTAATCTGACTGAAAGCTGTGCCTGAATGATGGCTGCAATGTTACTAGACAAGTTGAGGATTGAAGGAGTCATGGGATTTGGGCCAGTCTTAAGACAGTTAGGAATCTAGGGAAGGTTGTTCATTTGGCCCATTGAGCCATTCAAACAGATCATGATTGATTGTCTACTTCAATGCAATTTCCCCCAATACCCCCATATATCTCGATGTCAGTAGGATCCAGAACAAGTTCAGTGATTGAGCTACCACAGCCCTCTGGGGTGAAGAGTTTCAAAGATAGGGTGTGGGTCAACAGCATTGAACTTGTCCTAAATATAGTAAATGCTATCAGTCTCAGTGGGAGACATCTTGCAAAAATTGTGTCAATGTTAAGGCAACCTTGCACCGGAGGCATTTAAGAGGGACTTATCTGGTAAAGCAGCTGTACAAGCTGTCTGTGCCAGCAGACCCACTTATTTAACAACATGGCTTTGCCAGTGCTGGCGAGTCATGTCAACTCCACAGCAAGGATGTTTTCATACAAGACATTTGAACCTGATTTTAACAAAAAAAAAGTTCAAGACTCCCGCCATCCTGTTGGTGTTAAAAGAAATATCTTCCTGTGATTCAACAATAGTGGAGCCTAACTGAGAGGCTCTGGTCCTGCCATGTGTGTAAATAGTGCATTCATAGTCCTGGGAGTCTGTTTAGTTTTCATATTTGCATAACTCACCATTCAGTTCCACTGTCTACAAAGCAAAAGTCAGGAGAGTGGAATATTCTCCAATTGCCTCATTGTGTGCAGCTCAACACCATTCAGGGAAAAGCAGCCCGTTTGATTGGCACTCCTTCAGCAGTTACTCAAAAATCACCAATGGCAGCAGTTTGTGCCATCTGCAAGATGCTGACTCACTAATCTCCTCTGACAGCCACTTCCAAATGTGCAAACAGCAACAGAAGAATGTGAACATCACCACCTGCAAGTCCTTCTCCAAGTCACATGTCATCTTGATTTGGAACTACATTGCTATTCATTGACTGTCACTGGGTCAAAATCCTAGAACTCCCTGAGACCACTGTGGGTGTCCCTACACCATAAGGACTACAGCGTTTCAAGAAGTCAGCTCAGGACGACCTCTCCTAGGACAAATTAGGGATAGGCAATAAGTCTCGTTTGGCCCAGCAATGCTCCCATCTATATTAAAAAATACTAAAAGAAAGGGTGCTGCATGTAGAATGATATCTGAGGAAGGGTCACCGGATCCGAAACCTTAACTCTGATTTTTTCTTTACAGATGCTGCCAGACCTGCTGAGCTTTTCCAGCAACTTTGTTTTTGTTCCTGATTTACAGCATCGGCAGTTCTTCCGGTTTTTATTTAGATTGACATCTACTTTGTTAGATTTTTAGATAGCATTCCCTCTGGTGCCAGAGCACAGTATTTCAGTTCACTTCCTGCCATCTTGACACAGCCACATTACTTCACACAGGGAGGGTAAGATTCACAAGGCTTCCTGCCTAGGCAGGGCTTCCCAAATAGGTGTTGTGACCCTAAGTGGGATTGTGAGCTGAAATGTGGAGTCCCAAGCCCTCAGGCAGTAATTACCACCATGAAGCTCCAACCAAGTTGTTTCAGCTGTGTCCCCACTCTATCTGGACCCATGACATGTACACGCATCCATTCTGATCTCTGACTTCTCACTGATGGATTACAGCAATTTTCAAGCTTTGACACAGGGTCACAGTGGGAAAAAGTTTGGGAGGCACTGTGCTAGGTGAGTGGGGTGAGTGAGAAAAAACCTTTAGCACAATGAGTTGTATTGACCCGAGCTCCCTGCTTACTGAAATAACTCCACAGAGGACGGTATCTGTCACCAGGTCACCCTTTACTTACACATGAACAGGCCTTGCCTTTAGTACTGTTTCATTCACAGTCAGGTACCAGACTGTCAGTATCTCTCACACTCACCATCTTTATATGTTAGTCAGGGCTCCCCGATTAGACCAAATTAACAGCCCCAATCAGGCAACCCGTATTCTATGATGTCCAACTGGCTGACCTTGTTACAATCACTACACTTATGAGGGTGGGTAGAAGCAGAGATGATGAGTAATTTTGAAAGGAATTGGATGGGCACATGACAGGAGTAAAGTTGCTGGGCTACAGATAGGGGGATTGGAACTGACTGGACTGTGATACACAGAACCAGAATGGTCTAGATAGACTGAATGGCCTCTTGTGCTGTTATGACTCTAAACTGGAAGTGTTTGAAATTAAACAACCTCCAAGCATCACCGCTGCCA